TCCGTTTTTTCCAGATCGTGGTCACCAATTCTAGCAAACAGTGTGGCGTTTGCATAGGTTTCATACGTAAACAGCTCGCCAACGGGTGGGACAATGCAGTTCATGGCCATTTCAACACAATGGGCCGCGGTAATTACCCAGTCGGGGGCAATCAGTGTTCCACCGCAGAATGGATAGGGTCCTCTGTTGCTCGTGTATAGTCCAACCTGGGGTTGTACAAAGGAAAGCAAAATAAAGACGCATTGCGAACAAGGTAATGGATAAATTTCAACTACTGCTGAGATATGTTGTGTGCCATCCTTCCAGCAAGCTATCTTTGTTAGCTGGAACTTCAGCTTAACCCCAGGGAGTGTAAGCTGTGGAACAGAATAGGTGCGAATGTCGAGTAGGAAAATATAGAAAAAAGATCTTACAGTCCAGGGCCAGCTATGAGCTATGGCTTCGCGTTTTGTGGACTGATGAACCAGCCATGCGGCAGGAGCGAATGTTTGTCCACCACAGGCCTTTTGAACTGTAAAACAAATGTACTAACTTTGTGTTCACAGGCATTTTCATTAGAAAAGGTTTAAGGAGAAAAAATCAGAGAAAGCCACATTGCGAATTGAACGCGTAGTTTCCAAATTCATTTGAGAAAGTCCTTGCTTTTTATTTGCAATCGCAATTTTTCGTGAAAGGTGGAATGGTCGCCCCCCTGTAGCGATCTCGTATTCTAAGCCATGCTTGATCGTATGTCTTTTCTTACATTTTTTAAATGCCAAACACATCGATAAACAACAAAGGTTGGTGTTCAGTTCCTGATTGCCTTTGCAAACACAAGCTTACTGCTGACAAATAGGGACATACCTGCTGGCCACGTTCTCCTTGATATTTGTCCACTTTTGTAAAGAACACCTGGAATTCTGTCCTTGACCTGCACGTAAAAGGTGTATTCCGTGTTTGGTTGCAACCCGTAGAATGTGTGTGAAGACACATCTTTCCCAACAAAGACGGTATTTTTGAGGTTCTGGACCACTGCCATCACTGTGTAGCCATCTTCATCTGACAAGGTGTAATTGGGACGCTTCCATTTCACCTGAATGCTTTGTGAACTGAGAGCAACGGCCCTTATGTCATTTGGAATTTCAGCTTCTAAAAGAGTTATTCAAATATGATTTTAGAGGCAGTCGACAAAGGCAAAATATGCACTTTATTTCAGGGCAAATTTATAAATATTTTTATCCAACCGTAGGCTGTACAATCCACTGAAAAATTCCGGCTTCTGTCAAACGATAAAGGCGTAAGAAGGTTTAACTGGCGAGATTCACAACGCACAGGCAGCGAACTGCGAGCCAGAAAAGAAAAAGAAATTATCCTTCTTGGCCTACATCTTGCAATGAACACGAGCTTGGTAAGTTGAGCAAGAAATGCAAGCAATTCTCAAAAAATGAAAGCTATTTGAACAACAACAATCAACATAAAACCATATTGTTCAATAGGTTATTTGAAAGACGTTAATGCCGTGACGGTTATCTTCCATAACATCGAAGAAAAATAAACCAAACGCTGCCTTTTAAACCATCGATAGCAGTTGTCTTCGCGATTATAATTTATCATTATCGATAGTTTTCTCGATCTGACTGGTTCGCTTCATTCTGCATGCATAATTTTAATTTATTGAACATATTTAGTAATATCGATTGCATTTCTGCTTGATTATGGGCAGATTGCCACTTTTGGTTCGCAAATACGGGTTCAAACATGCGGATCCTCGGTCCTAACAGTGAGTGTCATTGTAAATGTTTTGGACGCATTCCAGTTTATGATCTTTATAAAAGTGAGCCCTGCCTTTTCTCGCATATGGTGTTCTTCTCGCCATAGAAGCACCGAAAATTTATTGCATGACAGGTATATATATTCCGCTGACACATAGGCATTATTCAGAATCGTTTCCTTGTGAGTTAATTATAATATCAGGATATGGAGAGATACTTACCTAAGGGCAAGGTATCCACATCGGCTGATACTCCCTCTCCCAGGCCACCGCCACTGCCTGCAAGCTTTTCGTTGCGTGCAGAAACGGAGATGGTGTAAGTCGTTGAAGGATCCAGGCCATACAGAATGCACACATTTTCCGGAGACTCGATTACCTTTTTGCTGCCTGTAAGCTTATTCACAGCAGAAATTTCGAAACCCTCGATGATGCCGAAAGATTCACTTGGCAGATTCCATCTGGCATGAACCGATCTGGGATCCTCTGCGGTTACTAGGAGGTCTGTCACTTTCTGTCCAGCTACAAAGGATCAACAGTGTATACGGCGTCAGGTGATCTGCAGCGATCAAATATCATATTATAAGGAAGCCGAGTTTTGTATATGACTGGCCTAGTAGATTTTCACGACTGTTAATTCCCAAGTCCTGATTTTCAGCTTGATTTCTAATATGTTGTAGACTCAATTCGTCATTTGCACATTCAAGGCACCTCAACTTGTAAAGATATTAAAGTATCTGTAATCTGCTTGAGACAACTGTACCGTGAAGCCTGATTTTAGACCAAGTTATTTTTTCTACTATTCTCAGCCTTTGCAAACGCATGTCGTATGAGCTAAACTATTCGTGCTAATTGTGCAATACTGTTTTAACTCGAGCAAACAAGCACTGTTTTGATAAGGATTATGACGCAGTTAAACTTTGCTATACACTGTGTCCCTAGGACAGTTACAGTAGAGATTTGGCGCATCAATTTTTGAGACGCTTGAGTTCGCACGAAACGTAAATTGCAGTTTTGATTTAATTGGACGTCCAAGCCAAATGGATATTAACGATGAACTCACCTGACCGAACATTGAATGCATGTGACGTACAACACGAAATCAGCTTGTAAGTCCCAAGGAAAGGGGTGCTTAATTGCATAAAATGTTAACTTTTGCAAGATTGCATGTCATTTTTCCACTGCATTATATTGCAGGCAATTTCCTTTTCCTAACACGGTTGAGGTAACATAGCACTATCGTAACAGTTTTGGCAGTATGCAGTCAAATTCATTACTCCGTGTTTGGTTCAGCAATTCTGATACTCACGGAGTTCGGGTAGCATATATTGATTTTTATGGGTTCAAGCCCTCGAAGCAGGCCTTTATGTTCCCCGTCAACTTTATTCTACCCTATCCACCGTTTGACGCTCTGTCAGTCCATCAGAAAGGTAATGTGATGTATTTGCGTAGATATTAACATATATGAAATCTGTTCAACACCGTTATGCTTTATTGTGGACCGAATTTGTTTTATAAGATTTGTAGCTTTGCAAACGCATTGTGGTGAGAGACTCAGAATACTATTTGAATTCAAGCAAGCACTCACTGTTTTGACAAGGAATATACCTGTACTCAATTTTGTTTTATTTTCAGACTATGTCCCGAAATTTCGTACCTAGGAAATATGGTGCATAAATGCATGAAACGTACAAGTTCACATGAAAAGATAAGATAATTTTCTGTTGTCATTTGGAATATTGGATATCTTAGTTATCATTGCATTCTATTGAGGATAGGGCTGCCAACTTACATAAAAAGTTGTCATTTGAAATATTTGGCCTAACACAGGTACCTAAATAGGACAATAACGGAAAAGTTGCAGATCATGAGTAGTCGAAAACATTTCCTTGAAGTGGGTCCAGCAATTCTAATACCGAGATATGTCAGTTGGCATATACAGTAGTCGCCGGCTAATAAGCCCACCTCGGGCCCAGACCAAATTGGGCTTAATAGGTGGCGGGCGCATAAAGCGGAGAGTCCTAATTCTTGATTAGCAAGCGCAGGATAGGCACTATACATTACATACGTACTGTAT